GGATGCACCACAGCTTAGCGCAGTGGAAAAAAGCAAATTATACTCTGATCAACTAAATCGGTTTTTGACATTCAAAAATAAGATGGATATTCCGACTCAAGCTCCTGTTCAGACAACTCCATTCGTGCCTGCAGAGATGCCACAACCCAATGAATCAGTCGAGATAGCACCACCAGTGCCTGCTACACCTAAACCTAATTTCCTTACACCACCACCAACCGAAGAGGAACGGCCAAAACTCAAGCGCAACTTTTTCCACAATTGGGTAGACTCTACAGATTGGAGGCCCCAAGATTTGGCAATGATGACCCCTGAACAAAGAGAAGGTTACGAACAAAGATTACTTCGCGAGAGGCCGAAATATATTCCAATGAAGGATGAAGACGTTGCAAAGTTAACGTTATCCCCAGAAGATAGACAAGAATATGAGAACTCTTTAAAAATAACAAAAACACCTAGACGTTACGCTCTTAGAAGTAGACCGTACTAAATTTTGTAAAACGTTTTGAAGAAATAAATTTAAAAACTGAAATATTGTGTAAATTTTTGCCGGCAAAGCCCGCTCTTTCCGCCCGCCTGATTAGTGTACAAATATGTTGTACGTTAATATATGCATGCACGCAAGCGTCGCTAATGACTTAGCAATAAATAACAACGTATATAACGATTACATGTTTTTATTGCAAAATATATCACAACTGTTCCAATTCTAACTTATATTCTTGATAAGCTTACTTATGATCATCTTAACAGTATATATGTATGTAGAATATTTGCTAAAATAACGTTGAACAACATGTAAATATTGACCTTAACAACGACGTTGACAACTCGGGATTAGAAACTGTTTAGTTTAAAATATGTCTAAAATATATTTAAAATATGATTTTTGTGACGAATAGATTCCTTATTTGCCCTCGTTCGTTTTCGTTCATCATGCGGCAGTCATGTTGTCTTGGACTAGGATGACCGACTTGACAACCATTACAGGATTCCATACAAAGTCTTTCAACTTTTGGCTGCAAAGCGCTCCTGTCTTGTCTAAATCGCTTTCTCTCTTCCCGCACGGATAACCCGCGACGCCCGCGCAATGAATATCCTAATCTACCCGTATTTATCCACACAGTAGAAAAATGCAAATCTCTGATAAAAGTTAATCCTTTAATAAGTTTCACCCTAACAACACATAGCAACCGGTGTGCTTTAATATAGCTTAAATTTATTAACCTTATCCGAGTTTTAGTACTTTAAAAAACTAGCACTAAAATATAGAAATCGCTTGACAATTATATATCATAACCTCTAATTTCCATGTGTTTATATAACTCTAAACAGCAACATATTCTCTCGTATATAGACCTCATATGGCAGACCGGGATTTAAATATTAGCTTAATTGTAGATACATAACTCTTACCGCATGCTATTTCTCAGCGTTTTGACGCTTGATAATATTTATATATTACTTAACAACAAAACATATAGCTGTATACCCCGAATATATAAGTTTTAGATATATAACACTAATGCTATTTCATATAGTATCAGATTTTTTACTCCTCTAGGAGCTAAATTAAAGGAATCACTTGACAATCACAGCAAAATGCTAGAGCTGTATCATAAACGTGGAGGGACGCTAAAAAATGCGTAGTCAGCAAGTCTCACACATCCTTGTTTAAACCTGCCCGCGTGACGTCATTGCATATAATTATGACGTATGCTAATGAGTGACGTCATTACGCACCCTCATTTGTGCGGCCCCCTTAATTACCTGCATATATAATGATGCGCCGCCCCCCTTGCATAGTAATTACCTGCATATATAATGTGCGGCCCCCTTGCATAGTAATTACCTGCATATATAATGATGCGGCCCCCTTGCGGCCCCCTGCGGCCCCCTGAAAATAAGGGTCGAACGGTACCTATATTACTACTTCAATCATTCAAAAGTAGATTATATAAAACTTCCTTTCTAGCTATATCAGGGCACTCTTTAATAAAACAAACACTAATTTGGCCCGTATATATTATCAATACCTTACTGGATAAAACATAGGAAATCAAGTTCATGTGTGAGAGAAATTTAGGATCTACTTTATCTACATTTGCGATAAATCGGCAAGTTGGATGTCATGAAAGATTGGTACGTACAGTGTATGGTATGTCGCTACTCATGAAAATTCATTAATGTCTTGTCACTATACTGCATGATCTTTTTAGTCTATCAAATACATATTCTTACAATTTCTGCTACTCTCATGCATGCATGATTGCATGTTCAATCACAACACCGTGGTTATAAACACCTAAATTGCATTTTGATCCTGCTATTTTAAAATATTGAACAAGCTATTTTTCTGAGATTAAAGTCACATAATTCGAGAATTATATTATGTCAAGTTCCTCCAATCATAATTCAAATAAAATAAATGGGGTTAACAAATACGTGTTGCAAAATTGTTATCGAACACATTGACATAAAAAATAAATAAATCGTAACTAAGGATAACAGAACAAAACAAAAAATGATGGTGAGCTTTGTTTGTCGTGTTACCAACCCTCCAATCAAGCACTTGTAAGATAGAAGCTTTGTGGGGAAGCTGTTGGTTGTCTTGGCCCCATCCAGGTTTCCTGTAAAGATATTGCAGGTTTTTCCTGTGCTCCCTGATGTTCCAGCTGTAGTATGAGTGATGGTAATGCTCAAATATATGCCTTACGATCAACTTTGTAGTTTTTTTAAAGTGCTTATGAAACGAAATTTTTGCCTCGATTTTTATTGTTTTATTAAAAGGTACTGCTTAACTGATGATGACGAATGACGTTTACACTTTGTGCGTATCTCATCTCATTCGCAAATTATCGCACTTTCTTTATTGTGAGTTGTGACGTCACTAGTTTGACTCAAAATAGTGGCAATAACAACAAAATCTGATATCTTGATGATAATTTAATAGAATTCAATGAAACTTGGAATGCTTAGTGGGTACAACGAAGTGAACAACTTGGCTTGTTTATATGGTTGTTATTGCAACACACTCGTCCCCAATCCCTTCTCTTCCAATTTCTCTATGATCCATTTCCAACGAAATAAATAGTAATTTCTGCAATTGTCGCTTATTATTATAATACGTGTAGGTATTATGATCAGTTTAAACCGTTATAACATGCAAACATCCCCTGCAAGAGGTCTACAGGGGAAATTTGTGAAAAAGTAGAGAAGAGACTGGGGACTAGTGTGTTGTCATGACAACCACATGACCTTCCAAAAATATTTATATGGGTGCACCCACTAAGTGTACCGGGTTTCATTGAATTTTATAAAATACTCACTAAGATATCAGACTTTCTTGTTATTGCCATCATCTCAAGTCAAACTAGTGACGTCACAACTCAAAGCTGTCTTCTATACGATTACAGTTGTGGTGGGAGTTGGGTTTTTTCGTCTATGGGGAATACACATGCTGTGTATTTGTGGGGATGGAGTGCTCCCAAAGGTCACACTCAACCCCATAGACTCACACAAATCAATGTATTATACAGTGTATTGTAAAGTAAACAATGACCATCACGGGGATCTACTACCCCTTGGACAACTCTTTCTCAGCCGGCTACATTTTTCACGACAAGCGACATTTTGATTCAATTGTTTTATAACGTAAATATTTCAGCGCGTATTCACCCCCCTTTAAAACAAAGAACACCATTGAAATCCTAACAAAATAACCTTTTCATCGGGGGGTTCAATGCCGTCAAAACAAATGCACAAACCGAAACAATTGTATATTTACTCACCGCTTGGCCAAACATTCTGTATTTTCATATGGAGAAAAAGTTGAATATCTTCTAAAGGCATCTAAACTCTTCAGAATTCGCCACAAGTTAATATGAGTGAAATATTCCTTGTATTCAAGCGCTTTTATGTAGAAAGTTTCGTTTGAATACGGCGAGTAGAAATGTTTATTTTGAATTTTTCAAAATATCGGGTTTCATCGGGTTTTTTACTTGCACGCGCGTGCTGCACGTAAAATTGGCCAATAAGGAGTAACCCGTAGCCCAATGCACGTGAAAATCATGCTGCAGATGTAATTTGACCTATAGAATCGATTGCCGACGTTTTCCGAGCGCTAGGATGTAAACACGCGATGTTTTCGCAAATCTAAAGTGTATTTCCGGTCGAAAATATCCCGCTGACTTCACTAGTATCACAACAGATTGAAATACCGAAATAAAATATGAAAGACTAATCCTACAAGCTTGAAAATACCACTTTAAATAGTGTTTTACATTCTGGTTCGAATAAGACTATAGCGAAAACGATATCTTCAAAGGGGCCGAAGTTATGTTCGGCGAAAGGTATGGATAGTTTACATTTTTCGAGATATAATGAAATATGACACCGCATGACCTCTCAAAAGGTCATAAATAGTTATACAATTTCACTAAAACTATATTTAAATAAAACTATCGATAGGAATTAGGAGATATTGTTTCACTGAATCGAATGGAGGTATTTTCATCTACATAGCATGCACCAAACCGAAGATATGAATCGGCGAAGTCATAGACCGTGCCATAGATCGTGCACGGTCTACGTTTATAGGGACCGGCTGAGAAAGAGTAAACAATGACCATGACGGGGATCTACTACCCCTTGGACATTAAAGTAAACAATGACCATCACGGGGATCTACTACCCCTTGGACATTTAAGATGCCCATCTTGGGGATCTACACTACCCCTTGGGTAAAGTCCAACATGGGGGAACCATGACCCCCTCAGGACATATAATTATATCATAATCATATTGCTGCATGTAATAGTGAGTCTGTGGGGCGACACTTTGGCCACAGTTTAAAGTATAATCGGAGCAATTCGCCTCGACAACCCTTCTCCCACAACATTGTGTGTCTCATAGTTGTTTTCTTAATTGTCATAGAATATTTGCTTAACGAATTGGTGCATTAAATGAGCGACTATAACAATAACAATATACATGACTACGATAAACAATTAGTAAATATCAGTGTTTCAGTGAGTATTCTTGCAATATTCACCTCAACTTCGGTCAATAATTGTTAACTATAAATCGCAATGAGGTTAAAGTATTTTGATTTCTCACTTTTTCTTCAGTATTGACTCAGGTATATAAATAATGAAAGGTCTTTTATCTGCTGTTTCATTGACGATGAAAGGACTTCATGTAAGACTATTTTAATGTTTTAGTTAGTCGGAGTTTACTCGGACCTTAGTCGGAAGGGTTCGTAGGAAAAATGTGATGAGCTTGTAGAAATGTTTTGAACACGTTTTCGTATGGTTTTATGAAGTTTATAAAGTTTTAAGTAAGGTTTATTATTGTTAAATGTTAAGATAAAAGGAAAAGGATACTTGCTTAGGACAGATGTAAGTAGAAAGCCTTAGTTAATTCATTTTTGTGATTTAGTACTAATTTAATATATGTAAACATACCGATTTAATTTCATTATTATTTAGTTTCAGATTGTTGTTATTTGTGAATAAATCTTAATACTGAAATCCCAAGCGTGTATTGTATTATTGGATTATTGTATGTTAGCTCCAAGTTATCGTCGGTCCATTATCTGAAAATCTTGGTGTCTATTTAACGTGCTGATCGTGGTTTGGAGCTATTAAAGTATTAAAATGGATAAAGATAAAGTCAAGAATATTCGACGGGCTGCAAAAGGCACATTAACGAGGGCATTTATCGCTTGTAAGAATCTTATTGATGCTCAGCGCCCTGTTGTCGAAGTCAAAGAAGCGTTTGATGTTGTTAAAAATGCGTATAATGGTCTGGAAGTTAAGCATGAAGAATTTACAATGGTGTTAGATGACACCCAATATGACGAAGCTGAGGAATGGATGCAAGCTTGTAACAGTGAGTACATGAAGTTTTCTATGATGTATAATGATTATTTGAATGCCAATGTTGCTGAAAAGGAAAATGATGATGTAGTAAATCAGGCTATAAATGAAGATGGAAATAATGCAAATGTGGACGGTGAGAATGATGAAAACAATAGTGTAAATGATGACCAGGAAAGTTTAGATATGCATGAGCCTGCTGAAGACGAACTAAGTAGTGTGACAAAGAATGTGAAATTGTCAAGCCCCTTTGCCATGAAACACGAGAAGCCAAAACTGCCCAAATTTGATGGAGATGTAAGACAGTACTTTATTTTCAAGTCAGATTTCCAGCATGCTGTAGAAGCCCACTGTTCTGAAAGGGACACCCTTACAATTCTTCGGTCGTGTCTTAATGCCCAACCAGCAAAGTTGATCGAAGGGATAAGTTCAGATTTGAAAACAGCATGGAAGTACCTAGATCAAAACTATGGGAATCCAAGAGTGGTGTCAGACACAGTCACATCAGATCTAGAGAAATTTAAGATAATCCAGCCTGGTGAGGATTATCGCTTCTGCGAGCTTGTTAATTTAGTGCGAAGATCATACAATATTCTGAAAGAAGTCAAGAGGAAACAAGATATCGACAACACCCATGTAATATCCTTGATAGAGAGAAAGATGACCAAAGATGATCTTAGAGTATGGTCGCGCCATATCAACAGTCGTAAGTTTGAACCGTCAATGGAAAATCTTCTTGAATGGATGGAGGAGGAGATGACAGCCCGAATACGTTCTGGTGCCACAATCCGTAAGAACACTGGAACCAGATCAGGGGTAAATGCATTTGGTTATAGAGAATCGAAAGGGGGGGAAGTCAAATCGAAATGTTATGTTTGTCAGGAAAATCATTATGTAGATGAATGCAAAAAGTTTATCGATATGACCCCCAACGAAAGATGGAAAGTCGTAAGGGAGCAAAGAGCATGTTTTTCATGTCTGAAAAGAAGTAAAGGTCACACTGCTGTGAACTGTACTCGAAGGAGAGAGTGTGGTCAAGCAAATGGGAATGGTGACAACTGTAAGAAATACCATCACAAGCTGCTCCACTGCAACAACATCGAAGAGAGAACAGGTAATCGTGTCCATTCCACCCGAGATAACAACAGTACTACTATACTCCCTGTAATTACTGGTTTAGTTAAAGGAAAGGACAGTGTTATGTCAGAAGCTAATGTATTTTATGATAGTGGTGCCCAGATCTCTATGATTCGCAGAAGTTATGCGGAATCCTTGGCATTGGAAGGAAAGCCTATTAACATTGTGATCACTAAAGTTGGAGGAGTGGAAGAAGAGTTAACAACAAAATTGTATAAAGTTCCAGTGCACAATTCTGATGGGAAAAGAGTCCAAATAGTTCAAGCAGTTGGCATCGCACAGATTTCAGAAGACAGTCCCAATGGTAATATAAGCGAAGTCTCAAAAATCTTCGACATTCCTACTAGTATGCTGAAGCGCAAAGTTGGCCCGGTCGACCTTCTGATTGGAATTAATTACCCACAGTTCCATGCTGGTGAGACTAAAATTAAGAAGAATCTTGCCGTCAGAAAAAGTCCACTTGGTTGGGTGGTCTTTGGGACTGACTCAAAGGAAATGACTTTCCAAAACAATAACGTTTTGCATGTGCGTCTTGCCCCTCCAGTTGATTTGACAGATTTTTGGAAAACCGAATCAATGGGTGTTTCTCCCTCGTTATGCAATTGTCAAGAAGTTGAGATGTCTTTGAAAGAACAGCAAGAGTTAAAGTTGATAGAAGAATCCTGTGAGTTGGTTGGCAAGAAATGGATAATGAACTATCCTTGGAAGAAAGACCCTAGCCAATTGCCAAACAACTATTCGCAAGTCCTGAAGAAGCTGAAAAGTACAGAGCGTCGCTTGAGTAAACAGCCCAAACATGCCAAAGATTATGATACACAGATAAAAGAAATGGAAGATAGAAAGTTCTCGAGAAAGTTAACACAAGAGGAAGTCGCAGAATGGAAAAAGCCAGCCCATTATATCGCTCACCACGCCGTAGTTCGTGAAGAAAAGAAGTCTACGCCAGTGCGTATCGTTTTCAACAGTTCAGCGTCGTTCAAAGGACACTGTCTAAACGATTATTGGTACAAAGGTCCCGACCTACTGAATAACCTTTTCGGGGTAATACTGCGTTTCCGAGAGAATGCTGTTGCTGTTTGTGGTGATATTGCAAAGATGTATCATATGGTTGGCATCCCGCCAATTGATCAACATGTCCACCGCTTTCTTTGGAGGAGTTTCGAGACAGAACGCGAGCCTGATACCTACGTTAAGACAGTTCTTACGTTTGGGGACCGTCCATCGCCCACCATGGCCATCGTTGCAATGCGTAAAACTGCTGAGCTGAAAGAGGATGTCAAGCCGGAAGCTGCCAATTCAATCAAGAAAAATACCTACATGGATGACATATGTGACTCGCAGAACACCGTACAAGCAGCCAAAGAACTGACAAGAGATATTGATGAAGTACTTGATGCTGGCGGATTCCACGTCAAGGGATGGGTATCAAACGCAGTGTTGAATGATGAAGAGCAACAAGGAGAAGTCGTACTTGGTCAAGATCCGCTGAACGATACACAGAAAGTTCTTGGAACAGTTTGGAACCCTCAACAAGATAAGTTTTCATTCAAAGTTAAATTGGGACACACTGATGTTTCAGAATCGGATGAATCCCTACGCTCTACAGTTCCAGGAAAGTTAACAAAGCGTATCATTTTGAGCAAGATATCTGGAATCTTTGACCCGATTGGAGGTGGTGCCGCTGTTCTGATAAAAGCGAAGATAGCGATGCAAGAGTTATGGCTACGAGGGCTGGGTTGGGATGACGATGTCCCACCAGACGTCAGAAAGAAATGGACGGTGTTGTTCAATGAAATGTCTACCTTAAATGAGATTGAATTCGAGCGATGCTTAACACCCCTGAATGCAATTAGTAATCCATGGTTAATTGTATTCTGTGATGCTTCTCGGTTGGCATTTGGTGCTTGTGCATATATGAGATGGCAACTTGAAGACGGAGCATTCGGCGTAAGATTTGTTGCTGCGAAATCTCGGGTGGCGCCATTGAAAGAACTCACAATTCCTCGCCTGGAATTACAAGCTGCAGTCTTAGCCAGCCGCTTGGCTAAGGCCATCCTGAAGGAAACCCGCCTGAGGATTGCACGAACAATCTTCTTCTCGGACAGTCGTGTCACACTTGCATGGATTCAAGGACAGCCGCGAACCTATAAACCCTTTGTTTCTTGCCGAGTTAGTGAGATTCAATCAAACTCCGACCCTTCCAACTGGCTCCATTGTCCCACTGCAATGAACGTGGCGGACGATTTAACGAAAGGTATTTCGGCTGAAGAAGTGAATGGTAGATGGTTAAACGGTCCGGTGTTTATACAGTTACCCGAGGAGCAATGGCCGATGGAAACTGGCGTACCAGAAAGAAAGGAAGTTAACAAAGAAAGGAGACAAGTCAAGATCGTATGTCCTGTCGCTGTCAGCAAGCCGTTATTCGACTGTAAACGGTTCTCGAAGTGGAAACGAGTAATAAGGATCACGAGTTACATCCAGAGATTTATCCAGAATTGTCGAATCAAGTGTGGTCGAAATGAGAGAAATCAACAACCAGAAGTTGGTCCATTAACCAATCAAGAATTGGAAAACGCGGAGGAGTACTGGCTAAAACAGATGCAGTCAAATCTCTTAAAGAGATTACCTAGAGGCGATTTCAAGACCCTGTCTCCATATAAGGACGATAGAAATATCCTCAGGGTAGGAGGTCGTGTGGATCCAACCTTAGTTTCCTACGATGAAAGACGTCCCGCACTTTTACCATATGATCACTATCTGTCCACCTTAATAGTCCGTGATGCTCACGAAACAAGTCATTCTGGTGTCGCCACGACAGTCGCCAAAATACGTAGAATGTATTGGGTCATCAAAGCTCATAGGATTGCGAAAGTCGTCAAGCAACGGTGCACAACATGTCGAAAGCTCGAAGCGAAAGTTGAAACCCAGCTCATGGCTATCCTGCCACCATTTCGTTTGCAGCCGTGCACCCCACCGTTCCTCTACTCAACGATGGATTACTTTGGACCAATCAACGTAAAAGTAGGCAGAAACAAAACAGTTAAACATTATGGTGTAGTATTCACGTGCATGAATACCAGAGCCATCCATTGCGAGATTGCAGTTGATGCCAGCACGATGGAGCTCTGGCAAGTCTTAAGAAGGTTCTTTTCATACCGTGGTTATCCGAAAGTGCTCTTATCTGACAACGGAACGCAGATGGTAG